TGTATGGGGATTAACATAAGAATAAAAAAAAATAAAAAATAAATAAATAAATAAAATGTAAAAAAAAAAAAAAAGAGCAATGGGACCATGTTGGTCCTATTATCCTCATAGGATAATATTTGGTCTCTTATCCTCAGTTCCTGAAGTTGTTTTAAAGACATAAAGGTGAACCAGTGTCGTATTATTCATAGTAAGCCGTTCTCCACCACAACTGGATTTATGTTAATGAAGTAACTTTTGGAAACCACCTAAGGATGGGTACTAGTTGCCCAGGGAACTAACTGTGACTAGTGTGTTAAAACTTTGAGTCCCACCCCCTGATTTCTGGGGAGAGAAAAAGGGCTACGGTTGAATCAATCACCAATGGCCAATGATTTAATCCATCATGCCTCTGTAACAAAGCTTCCATAAAAACTCAAAAGGAAGGGGTTCAGAAAACTTCCAAGTTGAACACATAGAGATTTGTGGTTAGTGGCATACTCCAAGAGATGATATAAGCTCTACACCCTTTCCCCATACCTTGCCCTATGCATCTCTTCCACCTGACTCTTCCTGAGTTATATCCTTTTATAATAAACCAGTGATCTAGTAAAGAAAATGTTTTTCTGAATTCTGTGAGCTGCTCCAGCAAATTAATCAAACCCAAGAGGAGGGTCATTAGAACCTCCAATCTATATAGCTGGTCCATCAGAAGCATAGATAACAACCTGGGCTTGCTACTGGTATCTAAAGTGGGGGGTGGAAGTAGTGGTGCAAATTTTTTTTTTTTTTAAAGATTTTATTTATTTATTTGACAGAGAGAGAAAGACACAGAGAGAGAGGAAACACAAGCAGGGGGAGTGGGAGAGGGAGAAGCAGGCTTCCTGTGGAGCAGAGAGCCCGATGTGGGGCTCGATCCCAGGACCCTGGGACCATGACCTGAGCCGAAGGCAGACGCTTAACGACTGAGCCACCCAGGCGCCCAGTAATGGTGCAAATTTTATCAGACTGTGCCCTTGACCTGTGGAATCTAAGGCTATTATCTCCAGGTAGACATGTCAGAATTGAGTTGGATTGTAGGACATCCAGCTGGTGTTGGAGAACTGCTTGGTAGCGTGGGAAAAACCCCAAACACACACACACACATTGTAATTCACCCCAGAATGTTTATAGTCCTAGCAAACTAATAAAGAATATATTAGTACATTTATGTCAGGTTTATACAATAGTGACATCGTGGGGGGGGGAAGGGTACATCAAATCACCAACTAAAATGTAGCTAGAGAATCTGATAATAAAATAGGATGTTGAATATTTCACGAGTTCTACATTGGTTTCTAGAGGCTAGGTTAATTTCATCCAATCCAATCTAATCCAGTCCAACCGAACCCAATAAAATGGCCTTTTCCTTTGAGCTGCTCCAGAGATTCAAAGACAGATAAAACATGATCTTTGCACTATTTTGCTGTAGTTAAAAAAACAGATGCATTAAAAAAGAAAAAGCTATGTAATATGCTCTTGTAACTACAGAAAATAGACCAAATTATTATCTAACACATCAAGTGATAAATGTTATAAGTACTATGTTCAATATGATCCTTTTTCATAATAATGTACATGCATGTATAGGGTGTGCGCACATGTAATATACTTGGAAAAAAACACCAGAAAGGCATATACAAAACTGTTAAGAGTTGTGTTAAGTGGTACAATTAAGGTAATTTTAATTTTCTTTTTTTATTATTTATTTTTATTGACCACAAATTTTTATATTGGAAAAATGATCAAACATTTTTTAAAAAAACATTACCTCAAGAAAGGCTGCCCAAACTTGAAAACATAAAAGATATATGCAAAAAGACAAAAGTGAGCAAATGGCTATCAATGTTAAAGAATTTCACACTCAATTCTATGAGTCTGGTTATTCTTTATTGAGGTAAAATTCGTATCATATAAAATTAACCTTCTTAAAGTATACAATTCAGAGGCATTTAGTACATTCACAATGTTATGCAACTATAACTTCTATTTAGTTCAAAAACATTTTATCACCCCAAAAGAAAACCGCATACTCATTAAGCAGTCACTCTCTATGCCCCCCTCCCACCCCCTAGCTATCACTACTCTGCTTTCTATCTCTACTGCCTATTCCAGATATTTGATTTAAATAGAATTATACATTATATGACCTTTTCTGTCTGGTTTCTTTAATCTAGAATAATGTTTCTGAGATTCATCCACATTGTAGCATGTTTCAGTATTTCAATCCTTTTATATGGCTAAATAGTATTCTACTGTACAGAAAAACCACATTGTGTTTATCCATTCATCAGCTGATGGACACTTACAGTATTTCCATCTTTGACTATTATGAAAAAAACTGCTATAAACATCCATGTGCAAACTTTTTTATGGACATATGTCTTCAATTCTCTTGTGCATGTACTTAGGAATGGAACTCCTCATATGATAATTCTATGTTTAATTTTTTGAGAAACTACCAAAACATTTTTACAGTTGCTTCACCATTTTATATTCCCACCAAAATATATGAGGGTTCCAACTTCTCCACATTCTCTCAACACTTATTATTTTCCCTTCCCTTTGTTTATTATATTTATCCTGGAGGGTGTGAAGTAGTATCTCTTTGTGGTTCATTATGTTATATTCATAACCTACACACACATTTGACATTTCAGTTCTAGTAATTACACAACATATTCCTAACAATTATACCAAGTTATGTGATTAAATTTTTAAATATAAGAACATGCCCATTAGGAATAAGGATAAGACTAGGGTTATTTTAATTAGTAAATTTAGCTAATGTTGAAATCTAGGACACAGAAAGTGAAAGGGAGGGTAGCACATTAACCCATTAAATCCCTAGTAGGTTTCTGGTCTTACTGGTCAAGTAATCAAAGAAATAGCTCACATGATATATTCCTTCTAACAGTGGCAGGAGTCATGGGAAATAATAATGAAGTTTTAATTCAATCAAGCATCAAAAAAAGAAAGAAGAGAAAGAAAAAATAACTGTATACCAATTCCATGAAACATTTGAAGAAATATTGTATCTGGGTCACAATTTCTCTAGTAGAATTTTATGCATGCAGTGAGAGTCAGATGCAAGTTATACTTAGTTTACACAGACAGTAGAAACAAATCATCCTTTGAAACCTATCATTTGCTTTTGCGAGCAAGGTAAAACATGATTCAAGAGGGAAAAAAATGGAAAAAAATACCACTGGCACTACCACATACTTCTTATCCTTTTCAAAAGTTAAATAATCATAAAAGAAACTAGAAACTAGAAAGAGCTAAAACTCTTGGAGGGAAAAGATATATTCTAAATGCTACTAGGGAAGGTTAAGCATCTTTACAAATTACTAAGTTGGATCTCTAACAATTATGAGGGGAATTTTTCACTGCTGATCACAAACTTATCATTTTTATTTTCCCACCTTTACTTACCCTCTTCATCATTTTCCATTTTCCCATGATTCCTCCCTTCCCTCTCTTGCCTAAGCCTTAAACCTGCCAGAAATATCCAATGACATATATCATTCTTTACAATGTACTCAGAGGCCAGACATGTTACCATTCTTGAACAAGGATGATAACCTCTACCTTCAGATTTTAGATTTGGTTTTAAAACCCTACTACTTTAGAAGACTTCTTTAGGTAGCTTTATGTCTGTGGAGGTAGACCTTGATTTTTCTTCTCTAAGAAAGACTATCAATATGCCGAGCTAGAAGATTTCTTTTTTTTATTTTAAAGATTTTATTTACTTATTTGACAGAGACAGAGATAGTGAGAGCAGGAACACAAGCAGGGGGAGTGGGAGAGGGAGAAACAGGCTTCCCCTTGAGGAGGAAGCCCGAAGTGGGACTCGATCCCAGGACCCTGGGATCATGACCTGAGCCGAAGGCAGACGCTTAACGACTGAGCCACCCAGGCGCCCCAGAGCTAGAAGATTTCTTGACAGCCTCGGTAACCAGGTGAAGCATGGAGTTGGGGTTACATCTTCACATCTTCACCTCCTCACATCTTCACCATGGATGGTGTGGTGCTAGCAAAGGTGAGGCTCCTCCAAACACAGGAAGCTTGAGTAGGAGAGAAAGACTATGGCCAGTGTCACATGGTAGCTGAGAAACAGTTTAGTGAGATGTCCAGAAATAGTCAGGGGAAGATGCACACTGAAAAGATAACTAGAGGTCCAATATGATATATCAGGGACAAAAATAGGACTTACCGTGTTAAAGTGACTTTATTTGTATCATCATTTGAAGTGACATTTAGACTATATTTGGCTAAAATAGGGCTCATACATTAAAAATTAAATACTTTCTGGCAAAGTCAGATTATACTGGTGACTATGCTTCAAGCACTGAAAATTATGGACCTTGTTCTCTGTATGTTCATGAGGCAAACTAATTTCTCTGGGGTACCAAGCTACAGAGATAGCCTCATTCGCTTGCCTGATGACAATCTCATCAAAAAAACACTAGTTTGATGCCAAGCCTGAGTTAAACTACAGTTTGGGAGAAGACACTGCAAAGTCTCTAATCCCAAATAGCTGATGTATTCTCATACACTGGGAAGGAGTTGTGTGACCAGATGGACACAGACTCTTCAGGGGAGGGTGTCTGATCACCTCAGGAATCTAAGACAGGAAAGTCAAGGTGACAAAAATGAAAACTGAACAGATGGAAGCATTATATAGTTGTACAGAATTTCTGTACAATACAATGCCCATGTATTTAATTTCTCCAATCCAAATAGCTACTATTCCCAGGAGCAATAAAGAGATTTCCAGAAGGAAATTTTCAAATATTTGACCTGACACCCCTTGAAAAGGAGCTCTTGATATTATTGTAGGGGGAAAGACATATCCTCTAATAGGATCATCTTTGGGAACCTTCTTATAGATCCCTCCTAATGAAATAATCCCAGGTCCTTTGTGTGAGGAGAAAGGGTCACAGATTAATTCATGAAGAAGGTAAACTAGATGAATTAGATAATGGCTAACAGGATAGTGTTTCAGAATACCATTATCTTTGTACAGTATTTTTTATACATTTTATACATTTGTACCATATATTTTATAAAGTATTTTTACAGGAATTAAATATTGAGCACTGATAATGTGCCAGAGACATATGTATTGTTTAATTTAATCCTCACAATGACTTTAATACACTTATTCTATTTTAAAGATGAGAAAAGAGATTCAGTTAAGGTTGAGTGATCTTTGTCAAGCCTTGACTAGCCTTTGTGACCCTACCTAGTAAGTGACAGAGAAAGAGAATTTAAATCCAAGCTGCCTGAATTCCATATACTGAAGAAATGGCAAGCATGAATATACTTATGCTATTTTACAAAACAATTTCTGAAAGTAGGCAAAACCAGCAGGATTAGAACCTTTACCAATGAAAGAGAATTGGATTATCCCAAGATGACCTATGTAATATTACTGATAAGCCTAGAAAAATCAAACAAACTGTAGAAAATATTTCTCTTAATACAGCAGGATAAGTTAAAGGGGGAAAAGGATTCATTCATATCTCTAAATTAAAAAGAAATCCAAGTTTAAAACAGGCAGTAGTTGAAGTAATTCTTACACCAATTACAGATTTTCAATATAAAAGAAGAAATAGAAGCATGCTTCTAAAATGTAAAATTAATAAAGCAATTTAACAACCAAGATGTTTTTATACAAATAAAAGATCAATACTTTTGTTAAAAGACAGAACAACGTGTCTTTTAGTTTTGTCATTTCAAGCAAAAAGAAGGTCCAATAGAAAAGCAGTCAAGGGTCAGCAGAAGAAAACATATCTGTAGAAATGTTTCCTTTCTTTAACCAAAAAAAACAAAATACTCAACAATGCAATACAAAAATTTCAGAAATTCACTCAGGCCAACCTATAATGCTGAAGTCAGAGGTTTCAGTTACAATCCATATTTCATCCAAACAAATATTTCAAAAGAGAAGGTTCACTGAGTATTTTAATAGAAACCATACTGTTCCAATACCATAGAAAAGAACAATGAGTCCTAAAAACCTTCCACGGTCCAACCCACAGTATCAATTTAACATCATGAAATACACATCCAGTTTCTATTGAATTATTTTTTTTAAAGATTTTATTTATTTATTTGACAGAGAGAGAGCACAAGTAGGGAGAGTAGCAGGCAGAGGGAGAGGGAGAAGCAGGCTCCCCACTGAGCAGGGAGCCCGATGTGGGGCTCGATCCCAGGACCCTGGGATCATGACCTGAGCCAAAGGCA